AAATTAAAATCCTTGATCATCTTCTTCCTTTGATTTCACAAAATTCTTCCTAACGTCCAATTTCAGATGGAGTGGTGGAAACAGCACACTGTCTATGTCAACAAGGGATTCATGCGACACATTTTTTCACCAGAATTGAAAATTTCTCTCAAAGGCCATTATTTCGCTGAATAATATTCTTTCCTTGCCCTAATATCCCAGTGGAACAAGAAACAGCAACATTTTGTGTAACCAGTCTGCATTCCTAGAAGTCACAGAACTTTGGGATCACCACAGATTTGCCATTTGTGATTCGAATAGCCACTATACTACTTCAAAAGTAGCCTCATATTCTAGTAGATTTCCTTTAACTAAACGAATGGGCCAATGGTATATAATTTAAGGTTTTTCGTTTCCGTTATGTAAGAGAAAGTCTTTGAGATTACTCTTTGAGGAATCTATAAAGCATCATTCTTGCCGATTGTGAATCATCCCGAATTTTGTAAGCAGCCCATTCATGTCAATATATTGTACCAAATTATCTGACATAAAAAGAGAAAATAAAAGCGGTCTTTTGGGGAATTTAATACTAGTGTTTGGTTGTAACAGGTTCTTTTCTTGAAGACGTGACCCAAGTAATTCTGCTTGCCACTTGAAAGATTTAGATCTCCGTAATCTTTTGGTTTGTCACTAATATTGTTTCATCTTTGTTTGTCCATTCACTGGGAGAGAATCAGAACGCAGAACTGGGCGCATTGCAGATTCCGAATTCGGATACGAAACTATTTGTTTTGATTTACTTGGGATTCGTGTTGCTTTGAATAATCAAAGATAGTAATGTCTTTAATCTGTAATGTGTTATCTAAATTTCCTTTACAATTGTAGTACGGCAAATGGCATACTCATCCATGGCATAGAGTGTGAATCCTACGCAAGCAGCCTCTTAAACAGCGGGAACAACTTTAGCATGACTCACACTCTCTTCTTGGTTCAAAAGAAAACTCGCATGCCTTTTTGACGATCGGAGAAATGGGATGACTTTCAGACATAATCGTTAACTCACCGCACATAACAGAATGAATTAACAGACTTCCTAGACACTTCAAGATTAGATGCAGTGTGATCTCATTATCGAATGACTGATGTAAGAGCCACTTTTCCTAAGTCACTCTCTCCCTTTCTCTGTCTCTGTCTTCCTCTCTCTATCTCCCTCTCCCCCTCTCCCCCTCTCTCCCTCTCCCACACCCCGTCTTTCCCCCCCTCTCCCTCCCTCTCCCTCTCTTTCCGTCTTCCTCCCTCTCTCCCCCTCTCTCCCCCTCTCTCCCTCCCTCTCTCTCCCTTTCTTCCTCTCTCCTTCTCCCTCTCCCTCTCCCTCTCTCTCTTCCCCACATTCTCTTACCTTCTTTTGAAAGACTTGAAAAGAAGTATGGTACAGTTAGTGAAATTGATTTTTTCAATAAAAAGTGACATAGAAATTTTTCATTACTTTTTTATTAAATTAGCACCAAAAAGTACATTCTGTCATTATTCCCCTTACATTTTTTTCCATTAATTTTTCATCAATTATAAAAATATAATAACTTAAAAAGTTATGATATATACATTTCTACAGTAAATGGAAATATATTTTTATCAATGGAGTATTGTTTGAATACTAACTACTACTTTGTTAAAAACTTTAATATTATGTTCTAGAATTTCATAATAGAAATATATACTACTTATCTGAAACTTTCTCACCTATGTATCCTTCCTTTGCTCATTAATTGTCCTCTGTCTTATTGTTAGGTGCAGTCCACATTGCCAACTAATACTGATTTTAATTACTATTATAAATTTTTATATAGAACACAAATAAAAATTATTCCGATTTGTTGTTACTGCTTTATAATTTATTTTTTCTTATAATAAATGGGGGCTCTTGTCACAAGCATTGCATATTTATTTAGGGGACTTCAAGCATGCATTATAGGTGTGTTAAAAGGGGGATTTAAAATACTCCCACTTTGCGTTACATAATTTCTAGATAATCCCTTACTTGTAAAATATGTGACAGGTAAATAAAATTCTTTAATGGAAAAGGGGTCCAGAAATACTTTCCTTAATGCTATGAGTGAATTGATGAAGTGTATTTATTTTCAAATTACTTATTTGTAACATTGAAACACAATTAGATTTATTGAAATAATGAAATTATAGTACTCATAACTCATAAGCATTTTTTAAAAGTGATATTAATTAAATGAAAATAGATACCTTAAGTGGATGAGAATATAATTAGCCATTAAAGAAAGCAGCAGAACATTTAGATTTAGATTTATTCAGTCAAAAAGTAAAAACTCTATGTGATGTAGGGGGGCAAAGATTGGAATTGGAACATGAACAAAGATAAAAGTAATAATACAAATTTTTCATCAAACACTTCATTCAAATTTTTCATCAAACAATACCAAAATTGTTCTTTTGGTATTGACACTAGAAAAGAAAAAAGTACTTTTGGAGTAATATTTGTAAAATGAATTGCAATCATGAAAAGAAACTTTATTGATGGAAAGTAAAGTAAAGAATGATATAAATTTTTTATGACTGCTGTGGAAAGGTGCAAGTGCAAAATAAACAAAAGACATAGTAATACAATTTTGGGAGAATATCAATGTGTAATGTATATTTGTTGTTCACCATAAAGTTACATGTCTCAAAAATCATCACTTTTTTTTAAATAAAGAAAAAGGAAGGTCTGTTTGTAATATTAAAATTTATAGAGCTATTTCACAATTGAGCAGGTGCATAGAGTAAAATGCATGGCTGGAAAATAATTGGTATTGGTCAGGTTAAAATCATTCTCCTACAAAATATTTTTCAACTAATTGTTCTACAAATTTTTTCCGAACCTATTCAAAAATTCACCACTTTTAGTTTCCATGTTCTCAAAAATTTATGGATTTTTGGAAAATCATCATTAGAGATAATTTTTATCTTGTGTTAACATATGTATTAAAAACTGAAATAACTCTATTATATGAATTGAAATGATGCAAGAATATATTATATAAAAAAGTACGTGGTAATTTTTGAAAAATGAAAGGAATACATCACAGTGGTGTATTAGTGCATTTGTGTATGGTAAGTTTTCTGTGCATTCAAAATATCATGTTTTTCAGTGCATTTAGTACTACCCACACAAAAAGGATAAAAAACAAAATTTGGTGCCAGTGTTTGAAAATCTTATTTTTTAATATTACCCATATTTTACATAAAATTGCATGAAAACTATTATTTTGAAAATTAACTAACATTACATTAATTAAAGAAGTAATTGTGAAGAACCAATTTCATTTGGAGCAAAAAGTTCTATCTTTAATAAGTAGTTAAATCAAATAGTTTAGATCTAGTTAGCTGCGAGCTTTTTAATGTTAGACGTTTAGAGCAAGCGGTGTTCACAACCGGACGGAGAGGGAAAGATAGCGTGCGGACGGACGGACGTTTCGAAAAAAGAAACAAGATTTTTATTAAGGAACCACAAAACGTGGGTAAGTTCTAAGTATGAGATCATGTAGTTTATTACATACAGGAGCAAGAAAAATCTTATTTTCCGCAATCAAGCAGCCACAAATTTTTTTCTGTCGAAAACCGGCCGCAGCATTACGTAAGTTTCTCTGTACTACGAGTAGGGGAATGATGGTTCAGGGCATCAACTGATGCCACTACAGTGTCACTGACTGGGAGGTACTAGGTTCGAGTCCCGACGGTGGCAGGATATGCGGCACTGGTTAGATAACTAGTAGTTCGAATTCAGTCGCTGTTTGGAGGAAAATTCTAGTCTCCGCCTGCTCTGATCGGTGTTTCGCGGTTTCTCCGATCAACGCCCCAGGCAAATGCCGGAGCAATACCCTAACAAACAGGCCACGGACCGCACGCAATCTTTCTTTCATCTTTTTTTTTTTTTGTCCTATCCTTACCCTTACTTACACATGAACTTGCATGCACTTCCCTATCATACATGCCGGGAGACCGCGAGCTTGGCGCTTGTTCCATCTGTGGCGGGCCCCGCTGGAGGGAGGTACCTAGTGAGAATCTAGGCGACGCAAAGGTCGGCGCCGGATCTCAGCGGATCGTTGTGCGAGGAGAAATCACCGCCAACTCCCGTGAGAATAATATGTACCACTCTTACGGGAACAATGACCTTAGCAGTTGAAGCGCTCGGAACGCGTCCCATTACGAATTAATTATACATGCTTACGTATATGAGAAAGAATAATCGCATCAATATTTTATTCAGAAGTATATTTAAATATGAATGAATGAAAACCAGAAGGGTGTGACATTTTATAAATTCTGTGAAAAGGTGTTAATTTTAGGCTGTGTTTCAGTGGCAATGAATTTGTATGGTTTTAATGAACAATTGAAATGCCGTGGTTTTAATGATGAAACGAAGCTCGACACCTTACAGTGATATTGACTTAAATAAACTGATTTCTCAGAATTTATAAAATGTCACTTATACCATTTTGGTTTTCACCCATTCATATATTCCCATTGTTAATGCTAGTGATTTGAAAGTACAACTCACATTAATACCAGCAAATTCTTCTCGTGAGAAGAATTTGAAATTAAATTTTATCTTTTAGAGTTCTTTTTAAAAAAAATTAAACTTCATGAAATTATATATTGAATCAAAACACATTTACAATAGGGCGTTATATAGTGAAATAAATCAACACAGGATTAGATTTGGTATTATTTCGGATGTTTTTAAATTATTATTTTTTAAAAAAATACAAACTTTCAATATTTTATATAAACACTTGATTTTCATAAATATTTTAGAATCTCGGCACATCCGCAGAAAACCTCTCCTTCTCCAGTCACTTGTAAAATTCAAGCCCGAGAGACTGAACCACGAAACACAACATGTCGGTATTTTCATCAATTAGTTTTGACGTTGGCTTGCCTCCCCCGTGACCTGCTTTTGTTTCCACGCGTATCAACAGAGGGTTGGTTTGCCTATGGTTTCCCCTTACCGCGTGCTGCAAGGCGGCGATAAATTTCAGCGAATGCAAAGGCATGACCCGGTCGTCGTGATCCGCGGTCAACAACAAAGTGGGAGGATACTGCACCCTTTGTTCGTCGGGAGGTCGAATGTTGTGCAGAGGAGAATAAGCGAACAGAAACGGAAATTCCCTCGGATCTTCGGGATTCCCGTAATCAGACACCCAGGCGTGACCGATCGTGAACTTGTGGTAACGAAGCATGTCTAGAACGCCTACTTGGCAAAGCGCGGCCCCGTACAGATCTGGGCGTTGGTTGATGCACGCGGCGATCAGCAACCCTCCGTTGGAACCTCCTTGGATTATTAGTTTCTCTTTGCAAGTGTAGCCCTGCGCAACCAAGAATTCGGCCGCTGCGTGAAAATCGTTGAAGGTGTTCTGTTTGAAGTACAAGCGACCTGCATTATGCCAGGCTTCCCCATACTCGCCGCCGCCTCGTATGTTGGGGATGGCCAAAACGCCGTCGAAGTGTTGCATGAACACCAGACGAACCACACAAAACGTAGGTTGAATGCTCACGTTGAAACCCCCGTAACCGTACAAAAGGCACGGTCGGGTTTTGTTAAGTATTATACCTCTTCTGTACACTATAAACATTGGCACACCGGTACCATCCCAGCTTGTGTAAACTACCTGCTGAGTCTCGTATGCTGTAGGATTGAAGTCCTTTAACGTTATTTCCCGATAAACCGTTGGTTGGAACGTGTTCTGTGTAAGATCGCAATGATATATGATGCCCGGATTCAAGAAAGATGTGAATTGATAGAACATTTCAGTATTTTTCTTTTTGCCAGAGAAGCCTGTGATTGTTCCGACGTCCAGGGGAAACGTGTACAGCCATTGTCCTGTTCGCATGTCGCACAATTGCAGCATGCTTTTTACATCATAAATATAACAGAGAACAAGTTTGTCATTGCGTATTGGTGCCGCCCAATCTAAGACGTTTCTGGGGTGACCTTGTATTAATGCCTTCCAATTCTCAGGGGCAGGATTCAGAATGTTGATTTTGATTAATCGGTAATTAGGTGCTCCTCTACTGGTTCGGAATATGAGATCTGCACCATCGTTGGTAATATACTCGTAGTCTGCTTCCATTTTGCCAACTACATGATACAAATTCAAAGGTCCTGTAATTTGACCGTTCGGTAAATTATGCAAATCGCAAACTAAAATCATATTTAGACTGCAATCTTGTTGAGGAGTAACTACAAGCCATCGACCGCAGTCGCTTACTTCAGCGCCAATCCTCCACAATGGTTCATGAGGAAATTCCACGCACATAACATCTTTATCTTGTGAGGTCCCCACTCTATGATAGAACAACTTTTGATGTTCGTTACACAGCACTTCTGTTCCATCAGGCTTTTTAATTTTTCCTGGATATTTGGCATAGAAAATACCTTTATTGTCGTGTGTCCACGTCATTCTAGAATATTTTACGTATTTCAGTTCTTCCGGGAATACTTTTCCTGTAGATACCTCCTTAAATCTAATGGTAAACCAATCCGATCCACTGCGACTCACCCCATATGATAATATATTCCCATTATCAGAAAAACGAGTTCTTGAAAGTGACACAGTTCCATCTTTGGAGAAAGTATTTGGATCTAAAAAAACTTGTGGTTCAGAATAGAGAGTGTCTTGCATATACATGACATTATGGTTTTGAAGCCCTGTATTTTGGTAAAAATAGTATTTGTTGCCGTGGCGATAAGGGCACGAATATTTAGGGTAGTTCCATAATTGCGTCAAGCGATTTTTGATGTGAGATCGTACCGGACAGCTCTCGAGGTAAGGTTTAGTGATTGCGTTCTGTTCTTCGACAAATCGAGCTGTTTCAGGTGAATCTAGATCCTCCAGCCAACGGTATGGATCTGTTACTGTTGTTCCAAAAAAGTTTTCTACGGCGGTTTCATCTCTTCGTGCTTCAGGGTAATGGAACATGGTCCTGAACTGTACAAATGCGTTCTTAGAAGAAATCTGCTGATTTGGACGGCTGAAAACACAAGTTGGGCACCAAAGACTAGCAAAGGTGCCCAAATTTTCTGTGACTTCATGAAACGTGTCGAGCAAAATTTGCGCCTTTGATGAGGATATTTTGTCTTACCTGCGTCACTTGATAATACACTGAATTTCACTAGGATTGGCGAGTTGAAAATTTGACATGATTACTTCGTTTCACAATTAATTCTTCAATATTTAATGTAAACGTTTAATAATATTTTATAATGTAGAATTGAACTTACAGAGAATTTAGAACTCATAACTTCCACGAATGGAGTGGTCTGCACAGAAATTTAGGTTAAGTCACGTTGTTTATTTTGCGTTTTTGTTTAGAACAATGAACATATTGATAAATGACAACCCAAGATCCATTTGAAAATATTGGAGTAACTTGGATCGTTTGTAAATAGTAGCAAAACACCCCACTCACCATTTATTTAAGTTTAAAGAGAACACATTTTCTTAAGGTCCAAAATCCCTACCCTCTGTCTTTTACTATATAAACTCGAAGTTGAATTATGAATAAAAGATAGCAGCGAGCGTAGTTGACAACACATGATAACAAGATGTGTACACTCAAATGTAATAGAAACTATTTACACCACCAAACCACTTGTAGATTTCATTCGATATTGCTGACGTAATAGCTGAACTCACATCCTTCTCACATCTAAAGAAAAATAACTTAAAGAAAATGATATGCGATAATAGTAACGAAGAACTAGAATATATTGTACATGATTACGAAAATATGTGAAACCTAAAGTATAAATTTGTCATTGTAAACATCTGAATATATTCAACAGTACGAATAGTCTATGTCACAAATTTTAGTATGCCCAGAAGAGTCAACACTCGCAATCCCACAGTTTGGCCGGCCAATCATTAAATTCGAAGCAAATTAACACTTGAAAGTGACATATGCTTAATGGATGCGAGTGATGTGTCGCATTCTCAAGTTTTTTTAGTTCTTTTAAAACTTTTGTTAAAAATCTTTTTCTATTCCTCGAGTGTACCTCTCTGTTCCTTTGTACCTTTCGTTTTTTCCTTGCGCTTTTCGGTAGGCATTTGTCACTTGCGTGGGTGAGGCAGGCCGAGAAACATTCCTTAGATAGCTTTGCTTCGTTACCAAGGTCACGGAACTCTTACCATGTGCTGAGCACAAGACGTGAGGTTTCGGCCGAGGGTGAAGCGACGCTGACTGTTTCCCCTCGATTTTTTCATTGACGCTTCTGTGTTTCCCCCTTCCAAAGCTTCACCATCGCCTCCTTTGAGCATTTCCTCTTCTTCCGTTAGAGGATTGGAAGTGGTGGACGACTGTGGACTCCGTAGAGGGTTGGAGGGGCTGACTTGATCACACTACACACGCATAAGTCCCGCTGACAGTCAGCACACGCCGACAGTCCCGATATAGAAGTTTGACTTAGCATGTAACGAGACGTGAGGTATCAGTACTTACAAAGAACTCTTACCGCATTTGACTTGTTCCTTGTTGCCATATTTTCCCGTCTATTGTGTGTTGTTATGAAAGTGTTCAGTTTTTCTTGAAACTTAATTATAGCGTACTTACACAAAGGCAAATCATAGATCCGAAACTGAAACGCGATAATTAAAATCAAACAATTTTTGTGCGAAAAGAAGCGACTTGGCGAGCACACGGTTTGTAGAAGTAGATGGACTTGAAGCAGGAAACAGTGTGTGGAAACTCCCAATATCCTATGAAAGGTTTCCAAAACTATTTAGTTCTCGCGCAAGCCAGAAGGTAACGGAAAATCGTCCTCTAATTAAACAATTAAGTGTATTGTTCAAGTTTCTATAGACTTTTGTCTATTGTTTTGTTCATGATTGTCAGAGAAAGCAACGCAAAATTAGCAATTCTTAAAGAATATGCAGTAGATTTGTGCATCGTAATAACACTAGACAGATAAGTCAAATTCAGACGCTGCCTGGAGGACAATTCTAGCGGTTGGCTGCTCTGATCTGTAGTTTTCCGTGTTTTTTCCAATCAACACTTGGCTAATACCGTAGTAATACCTCAATATGAATGTGGGTGGAATGACACCATAAAATATTTCCATTTTTCAGTCAAAATCGAAACCTAAGTTTCATTGTTTTTGGATTTCTCCCTTATTTCTGGGCTTCCAGTTAAAGCATAGGCACCTTTCAAAAGGCCAGAGACTGCGTAGATTTCTTTCAATATCTGTATGCATGGGAAATTAGTAATATATATTTTAACCTTACCTTTGAACATTTTTGGACGTTTAGTTGTTTTGAAATAAATGTTAAAGGGAAAACTAAATATTTAGTGACTACAGTAGCGCACGCAAGGAGGGGTATCATGGGGATCAGGCCCCCAGAAATCAATGAAACTTCCAAATTTATTCATTTTTCTAATTTTCTACACAGCCAAAAAGCATTCAATACATCAATCGTTAATATTATATATATTAAACATAAGTCAACAAATGAAATTATATTTTATATTAAACATAAAAAAAAGATTTATAAGAAAACGTCAAGAAGCCTGTACGCTACAATTGAGCCATTGAGAGCAAACGTGATGTTAGTCAAATTTTGGAAGATTTGAGTTACATGCAGGGGTAGGTGGTTTTAACATTGTTCCATCATGGGCTAAAACAGTGTGAGTCAAATTTTAATATTTCTTCGCTAGAGCACAATACAGAGGTAGCAAACAAGTTGCTCATACCGCTGCATGCAATTGTGGTGTGTGACAGGTGGGACGAAACAACAGCTTCCAGGGGTGCCGGCTTCGAAGAAAAAGCTTCTAATCTGTACCCATCATAGAATAAGCATATCGAAAAAACCAACACTTAATCTCTTTTAGTGATCTCTTTTAGTACTATAAGTCATTTATGAAAAATGACTTTTATTTAAAAACATAGAGCAAGCTGGCAAATAAAATAAAATTCATTATGTTCCCAATGACTTATAATACCATCCGGTTAGCTCGAAAGAACAGGACGTGAAATGTTCCAAGCAGATTTTAACTAACCCTTAACCTTTAACCCTTCACCAAATGCTCCTTCCTTTGGCTAAATGTAAAACTTTTAATATTAGTAAACAAGCTGCTAATTTATGTTCTGCGATATGAACTAGTTATAATTTACAGTGTACAAAATATCAAAACATGTATAAATGTATAAATATGTGTGTGTAAACATAACATATATAAAAACAATGTGTACACACATTGTGTACATTGTTCTTTTATGTTTTGCATTATTTTCACTCTATTTCCCTCTTTTCCTACCACATTACTATTGCAGACGAAAATTATGCCTGCAATTATTTGAATGTAAGTAATAGGTTTCAGAAACGATGTGTACAGAAGTGGTGTACGTCAACAAAATAGTTAATTAGTTAATAAAATAAGCAATGATTCAGTCCAAAATATATGTAGTAAGTTAAGAGTATCTCTTTAACACATTCATAACACTTTAGATAATTTATTTCTAAGCATTATAGTTTTACAGCGTTTTTAGTTTACACATTTCTCGGAAAGTATGTTTTTGATTTACACCACTTTTTTAACTTACTTTTGCTCTCAACGGCTGAAATGTACCCTCCCATCTCGATCCCCCGGGAAAAATCCTACGAACGCCGTCTAGTAATCATTGTGATATTTTGCAGCCTCAGGATGACAAGATCCAATCTGACTTGAAGCAAGGATCATTTACAGATGATTTTCAAAATTTGGATGTAAAATAAAGCCACGTAAAATGTAAATTGAGTGAACCTTGGGATTGTGTTTGTAGAAGTTTTTCTACAAATATAATTTGAAAAATATTTTAATGTCTTGTATATCTAACAATAGAGTTAGAACATGTCAATATCAGTTTCGTGGGAAAAGTTAGATAGAACCTTGTCATTCTGAAGCTACGAATTAAAGCTTAGAGCAAAATTCTTTTGGGGACTATAGTAAATGAACGTTAGTAACATCAAGCATTATTAGAATTACTAACAATTTCGATTATTTGGATTTGCTTTAATCGATAGAACATAGATTGATACATTTACTAGACATTATAAAGTTAATACGGAGAGAAGTGGCTCAGGGCGTAAGGAGCTGACCTCACTGTCGGGAGGTCCAGGTTCGACTCCCGGGGCTGCCATCCTGACCGGGGTTTTCATGGTTTCCCTCAAGTCATACAGACGAATACTGGGATGGTCTCAAAATGCCACGATCATCTCTCATCATCATAATACCACATAATTCATAGGCTGGCAGCCAACTGCTTTGAATATCCTCTTAGGAGGATTACCAAGGATCGCACGCAATCTAAGTATTACTACTACTATAAAAATAATAGACATTATAAAACAATAACAACTAACGAAAATACTATATAGAATGTCCGCAAGCTACCGCACAAAGTAGCTCATATTGTACGTTAAAACGTTTCATGAAGAATGGCAGATGTAGTTTTCCGAAGAAAATGCACCTTGGAGAATATTGGGTATCACTTTCGGGCGCGGTATTCAAACCGACTGCCACTAACGCAGACTCTACAGCTACCGTAACGACGCAATGCGCTTGGCGTGTCAGTGAAGCTGTGTACTAATAGTCAGTGAGTAAAAACGTCGCATGCCACGCATTAGAATATTTTAATAGTACTCTTTTGTATTTTTTTTGTCACGGTAGTTGCGGAACACTCTGTCTAGGAGCGGTATGGTAAACGTGTGCAGGTGCTTGTCACAACTTGCACAACTTGCAGACCTTTGATTTGATAAAACTATTTCCACCTATTCTGCTGGAGAATGGAAACGTATCCCAACATGGCACCAAAGAACCCAAACAAAAACGGCAAGTTTAACCGAAACAGTCCACACGCGCTGAAATGCACCGGTGCTAACTCTGCCTGCCGCAGAAAATCGCAGATCGTGACAGTTGTCGTCGTCCTCATTAGGGACGTTGTCGTCACCGACAGTCCAAACGACCTCGCCACCGACGTCGACGGACGATGCAGCCGATGAACTCCATCTTGCAACCGCAACAGCACCATCACTGTTCGCCGTGCTGTTCCAGACACGGCGTCACTACTCACACACGTGGCAGTTACGCTCACGGTCGCAATGCCGAATCGTAGCACCAAACCAAAAAGATTCGCTCCGAACTGCATGCCGTACACGGGGTCATTGTACCGCAGCGTCGCTATGAAGTACAAGGCCAGCGTACCAACTATCCATAACATTGTGATTTCCCCTGCGATACTCAATCCGAAAATATTATTGACGCATCTGCACGCGTCAATTAATGCCAGGTGAGACGATTTCAGGGTCTGTACTCTCGATGCGACACCTAACATTTCCGAAATTGACAACTGTGTTCCAAAGTTGTCACTCAGAATATTCTCTATTTTTTCATTGATTGCAGCAAAACTTTCTCTTAGAACAAGAAGGATGTTGATGAACATGATCAATAAAAATAAATTGGAAAAGTATACGACAAAGTGACAAAAGGCCAAGTAGAAAGGCCGAGGCCAGAATACGAACTCATAAATTAACAAGAAAAAGCATACAACAACACCAACTCCCATCTGGATGAACACACCCCATCTCCTTTTCGAATACGTTTTCGTGTATTCAAAAACTTTATCATCGCTGTGATGTAGAAATGAGATAAGTGAATTCCATGCTTGAAATTTGGAGGTCAAAAAGAGCATCGCTGAACATGCCGGGAGAAAGAAAGCCCAGATATAAAATCCAACAACTAAAATATGATCTGCACCTAAGTAATATTTGCTGAAATAGTCTATATACGCCTTGACAATAGAACAAGCAATGTACAAACTGGTCATAAAGATAACCCAAATTATTTTCTTAATATTTCTTTCAAAACAGTATGTGTCTTCTTTGAGAGAAAATGGAATAAATCCTAACCATTCACACACCACGAAAATTGGGCGGAGAGGATATAACCAGTCACAGGCCATCTTTGTTCACAAATTATTTACGTTATTAATTTGGCCATGAAAAATATTGAGGACTCAAACTAAATGTCTAAACCATTCGTCAGAGATAATGTTGTTCAAGTGTTGAAGACAGATTCCTTCTAGCTCATAGATATACTGTAATGTTGCCAATAACGCCATCTAGTCTAATTAATACTGGTCAATTTTCTCATCATGGTACAGAGTTACAAGTTGACAGATTAACATAAATATACTTCGGGAGCAATTACTATAAGGGAAATTATTTGCAATGACTCAAACATTTGCAACATAATAATCAATCTACTGACATGGAAACAACTCCTGAAGTATAATTTGTTATATTTTCCATCACACTTTGCAATAGTACGAGTTGTCATCAAATGTGGAAATCAATTATTTTACTTCAGCGTAATTCTCTCCGTTACTCCGTTCAGAAAGAAAATTCGTCACTGTCAAACCCTCAGGTGCAAATTAGTTTAATTTATCATAGAGACTAACAGTAATCCTTTATGCTATGACATTAATAGCTTTGTACATTCATTAATATTAAATAACGCAATGAAATAGACTGACGCTTACTCTGTCAGTACAAACTGGTAAATGAACTTTTTTATACGTTTGTTCCGAAGAAAACTCAAGCATCCGTATATGAACGTTTTTGTATCATCAACGTTGGTGTCGATTCTTTCGATTGGTCAAAATAGACTACTGGTAAAAGCAAATGAAAATACAAATGCCAATATTTAATTTAACAAGCATTTATTAAATTTGAGCATTATACAAAGCAACCGCCATGGCCTAAAGCCACCCCCATGTGTCTGTAATATCGTGAGGGGGAGAGTAAATGAAAACGAGGCGGTCTCTCATTTGCAATCGCCTAGAGCCGCATTGAGTATTAATACGCCACTGCATGCACTACACTTACGGGACAAATGACATTAACATTCATGAACCCGAAATCACTAACAAACTCAATCATCTTATTGTCCGGATTTGGTGCCAATTAGCCTATCAGGCACACGAAATAAAGACTTTCGTCACTTCACGATGAAAGGGGCTTCGTTTTCAGGTAGAAACTGTATTGAAGAAGGGAATTTTAAACGTCGTAAAATGTTATGGCAAGCTTTCAATTTGAATAGGGACTACTCTGAAAAGTAATGTAATGACTTTCTTAATATTTATAATAAAATTGTGATATCCACGAGAGTATTTTATAAAATTCCGGAATGCACTTATATTTTATTTTGGGATTGTTGCCACCAGCGACAACGGCAACACATAAAACCGTTGCCCATGGAATTCTTACGACAATGTTCAACTAAGAATCACGTCTCCGAGGTAGCAAATCTGCAGACGCGACTTTCACATATAGAAGTATTGATGACCCCCATGCAAGAGACAAAAACATTGAATGGTGGTGTTTTAGAAATATTTTGCAACAAAACTGACTTCATTGTTTCAAAGTGAAACCAAATTAAGAAAATGCAATACTCTTATCCACTAGGAGAGATGGAAGCTGCACCACCGTATGCCACGTAAGGTCTCGAAATAATTGATTCTGATCGTGTATCAATGGGGCGGGGTGAGGGTGTCTGATGAACCCCATCATAGTTTTTCCCCTGAACCTTTGTTTAGGTAAGGAGTTACTATTTCAACGTTTAGGAATTTTATTATTATAACTATACATCCTTGACATTGAAAAGGTTTTTGATAAACTATGGCATATAGGATTACATTATTAGTTGCAGCCACTAGGTACATCACAATATCTGCACGATATTATTAAAAGTTTTCTTTCGAACCGACACTTCTATGTCAATGTTAATAATTTATTTCCGATTTATTCCCCAGTCCGCCTCCCCCTCCCCCCAGTTTTAGTGTTCTCCGAGTACCAGAATGGTATTGATTTGGGATTGTTAGAAGGAAATTTTAAAAAAATCAATTCTTTAATAGATATTGTACGTCTATCCAAATAACTTTTCTATTACTATAATTATCAAAACTTTAAAAATCTGTATCTCATTGTTATAGAAGAATACAGCCCTTTTACATCAAATATACCGCTAAGATATGATAAATAAAGCTACCTAGTAACTATACATCAGGGATGTACACTTACAAGGTCTCGAGGGTTTGATATAAAACCTTTAATGAGGTTGCGTGCCATATTTGCATTACTCGGTCGATCCACACCTGACTTCCCGGTAATGTTGATCTTGGCATTAAAATCGGGGGGGGGGGAGAATCATGCGTGATATCAGGCCGTACCTTGCAAAACAATGATACACATTGAGATAATTTGGAATTTATGAATTTACTAGAAAAAATCCTTAAATCTGAACTTCACCTATTTTTACATTAAAGGGGGTGTACACCCTGGCAGGTCGCGTGCGCTAGGTGCACAACGTTCTCGCCCGACATGGTTGCATGGGACTTTCACTTTTGACTAATAATCCTCCGCGGGCCACAATAAATGGCCGCTAGTTGGCCAAGCCTGCTGTATAATTATGCTGCTATAAAACATTTCTATTGATAAATTAGAGTAATAAATAGCACTACGAGTACAACCTAGGGCATGACAACACGTGTAAGTAAAGTTAGACCATATTTGTAAATAACCGAGTATTTTGAATTAGAATGTAGCTACAATTGATTGTTTTGCTTTGAATAACAAAAAAAATGTTAATATCCAATAAAGCGTTGATACACAAAGATGATACTAAAGAATATTAATGACATTATTTTAGTGTACATATCAAATTTGAATAATAAATAGTATTTCTTATAATTTTGCAATAAATAATGTATAATAATGGCTTAAAAGAGTAGAAAAAAATTTATGAAGAGGCATCTTACAATAAAAAATAACTCTCGGATTTGACACATTCATTCAAACCAAGCAAAAAATAAGCAAGACGAAAAACAAGTAATAAAATCGTTCTTCAGGACTTCACTGCCAGTGACTTACGAAACAAACACCTATGCTGCTTACGGAGAGTATGGCACCAACGGAGTCAGCTATTACCAGGATCCCTCGATGTATTATGGACAAATACCTGTGGAGCATTACAACCTTCAGGATAGCACGGCTCAAAGTAGTATTGTCTCGGAAAACTCAAACAGAGAATCGGAGAATTATGGGACTCCAGGAGGCGTCAATACGTACTACGCCAGTAACTACCAAACAGACCCTGCAGCGGGATTTTACTGGCCCTCCGCTACGGACAACCAAGGTAAAGTTATGCCTACCCTATCTTCTAGGATTAGGTCCAGGACCCATTCGCACGTCCTATAAAATGAGAAGGTCGGAGTGGGTTCGTACATAAACTGACCCACATGTCAGTACCCACATATCCGTTTTTATCAGCTGGAGGAAAACAAAGATTTTTGTAAATTCAAAATCCGTGACTTAGCAAAGAAGTCTTTCTACTTTCTACACACATTCTCTATTTCTAAGAATACGTTTTCACAGCGTTTCTCTCATAATGTTTGTTTTTAGGATACATTATAAGATCTTTATTTTGGATTTTTGAAATGAGGGTTGACACTACCTTCTCCCTTCCCCTTTAAATGACCATTTCTACTGACAGACTAACATCTACCTACTGACTCACTCAGTGGGTACCTTTGATCTCTCAGAATTTATTACTTCTTATACTTCATTTTTCGGGACACGTCTAGCGTCATTACATGGAAATTTAAAACTGACTTAAAATGTCTACAACAAACGAGACTACATGCAATCTGCGAACATTGCTGCTACATAAAGGTATGACGTGAATTTGGTTTTAAATAATAAATTTTGTTGTAACCTTAATATATAAACAGGTGTGCAATTGTATATTTTTGCAAATGCTTTTATTTTTTGCTGATATGTTATTGCATTCATGAGGGACTCGATATATATTGCGTCACCTGGATCGAAAGGATCGAGGTAACGAAGTAAATATGAAAGCAGTTGATACATGTTTTCTTACATGGAGGGAATTATGGGAGGGAAATATGAAAAGACAAACCAAGTCACGTTACCATCTAGTTAATTAATAAGTAAGTAAATCTAAATCAATATTATTAGGAAAAAATAAATTCTTGAAAGTACCATAGGCGTTAACTGGTTCTAATGATCTCGGGCGCCAAAAAGCTCTCGGACAAAGGCGCTCGGGTCTTTTGTCGCTTTATCTTTAGAATACGAACACGATTGAGCATGCGGAAAAAAATATGAGAGGACAACCACAAAATGTTGCCTCCAATTTGGTTACCTCACACTCTG